GAGTAATATTAAGAATTATAAGTTTGTCTCTATAAGTATCTATTTTTTCTTCATAAGTTTTTTCTTGAATATTTGCAAACATATTTTTAATGGTATTAATTATTTCCTCATAAGGTTTTTTTGTGTATCTTAAGTTTGAATATTGATATTTGATTGAAGTCTATTATAGTATTGACTAACATAATAACCTCTGATATGCACTGGACATCGAGCACTAGCTAAACCAGTAGGTTATCACAATCAATACAAGGTACTCTTTTTTTAGCTTTCCAATAATAACTACATCTTTCAGGTCACATACAGGTTCTTTCACAAACTTTATCAAAATTATGATAGAATGAACAAATATATTTTCCAATCATTTTTACTAATATAAAAATATTTATTTAAAGAAAAAATTTTATAAAGTATTATATATAAAACTTTAGATAATCAAAACATAACACATATTCAAATGTCAATTATAACTAAAAATATCAATCAACTATCTATAGAGATCAAATTCTTCAAACCTATATGGCAAGATATCAAAAAATTAATAATCGATATATTAAGAGCAGGTAACTTTTATAACAAGAATAAAAATATAGGATTTATGACTTATTATAAAAAGTAACTTGATAAATTGTGTAAAACAGAAAATCAAAAGAAGCAAAAAGAAAAAGAACTTCAAGTATGGCTTAAATCTTGAGTATCTATTTTGGAGGATATTCAATTTTGTTAACTTTTATTAATTGTTCTCTTACAAACAATTTTTCAGGTTCATATCCATTTTCATCCATAAGCCAATATAAAACTGGTTAATTTTTTTGTATCAGAGATTCTTTAATTGATAAACTTTTGGAAACCAATTCATATCAGTTATGCATCTCTTATCAAATTCTAATTTTTCAAACTCAAGTAAATATAAAACAGAATCTTTATAGCTTAATCAAGATTCATCAAATCCTATAGATCTTTGATATTTAATAAAAGGATCACCAATTATTTTTTTATCTTTTAATATTTTCTTTACAGCTTTATTAGATGACATATAAATTAAACAGATAGGAGTATTATTATAAATATTATTATTAATATGAAGACCTTTAACCCAAAATCGATATCTCTCAGTTAATAGTAAGTGAAAATCTATAGCATCTTGATGAATATAGGCATGTTCTCAAATTCTTGATGATTACATTTAGCTATTGATATGCTACATTTAGATTTAGCTTGTATAATTTTTATACCATGACTAAGTAATAAATCTTTACTTTCACCTAAGTATTTAGTACCTTTATCCATAATTAAAACATTTGACCATATAAGATGATTATTAAAATTATCATAAATTGTTTTAAATATTTTAGTTAATAATGTGAAAGACTTATTAGTTAAAGCATAACTTTTACAAAATCTAGTTGTTATATCTTTTATAATACTCCTATATTTGAAAATTTGATTACTGATTTTATCATGAGACATTGGAGTAAAATCAGATTGATGCATTTCATTTAAATTTTGAATTCCATTAAAAGATGTATACTGAATAAAACATGGTCGAGATTTATAAATCAAGTATAATAATTGTTTCTCAAGCTATTCTTTTACTTTATTTAATATAAAATTAAAACCAGCATTATGTACAACTTCATAAAGTTTTTTACTGGTTCTTTAATAACCAGAAGGATGGTAATAGATTTTTTGTAAATTATAGAATTAGGTTTTTGCTTAATTTTTATATATTCTTCATAACTTATATTACAAAAACTATTTCTAATACAATAAGAAGCCCAATGTCTCTTTATTTCTATGTAATTATAATTACCTATATTTTTGGTTCGTTTTTCTGTATATATTAATTAATTGCAAGAGAAGCATATTGCAATACCAATTTCAGATGTATAACTTGTATAAATCTTATGACTTAAAGATTCTGGGCTCTGTCCATTAAGATCATTTCAATATTTTTTTAACTTTCTAGCTTCAAAATATTTTTTGCTATTATAAGATAAGAGATCATTTTCTCTAAAATATATAAGATGTTCCAAAATCTGTTTCATCTACTTACTGGAAGTTTCACTATCACAAATTTGTGACATTTTACAATATTCAGTTCATTATTCATCTGAACAATTAGAACCCTAATGAGCTACTAAACAGTTAAAATCAACTATTTTATGACTTATTTATTAATTATATGAGATTATACTATTATATTGAATTTAAGGATTTGGATCTATTTGATTTAATAACTACATACTCTAGAATAATATGATTCAATTTTAATCCAGATTGGATTCTCAGATTATTTTTTTATACTGTACATATATAAAATGTTTAGAAGATTAAGATCAGATGCAACATACTTATCACTTGAAGCAATTAGTAATATTATTACTGCCAAAGATACAACAAATGCATTATCAATATTAGCTAAAAAATATAATGTATCATATACACGAATTTGTGAAATATGGAAATTTGCTATTGCAATAAATAATTAATAAATTTATTATATGCATTAGAAACACTAGACTTTCTCACATTGTTTATAATACAGTTTATATTATTTCATATTTTACAAATTTGGCTAAAAATTTGTATGAATTGAGCATAGACTTTTTTCCATTCTTCTATAAGGTTATCGAGCCATTCAGTACTCAATCCACTTTTTAATATACCACAATGTAATAACTCTTCACTAACCAACCTCTCCTGATCTGTTAAAAATTCATGATATTTTCTAGGGTCTTCTTTTCTTTCTATTTCATTATGATAGAAATGTATATCTCTTTTCAAATTCCCACAAAAACATTCCATGGCCCATCTATTTTTCTCAGCCTCTGTAATAATTAAAAATTTCTCAGAATCTATGCTTGATGGCATATTGGTGTAAGCCTGCTTCTGGCTGATAAAGGTGGGTTTTGTTTGGACGGACTGGTGAGTTACTGATTTTGCTTGATACCCTTATCTGAGCTTCTGGCAATTCTGTATAATTTTCTTTTGATCATTATGAAAAGGACAATTAAGAAAATAATAATCATTTTTACCTAAACAGTTCCAGTCACCCCATATGTCTCAATGTATATGTACTTTTTTGCATATCGAACATTTAGCTTCTGGATCTGTATATTTAAAAATATCTTGGTACTATATATTTGATTTAATATATTTCAAAAGAAATTGTTTTTGCACTGCTTCAATAATTACTGTACATCTTTTTTTTCTGGAAATTTAGAAATCTTGATTATACAGTCTTGTGAAAGATGATTATCAGCATTATCGATTTGTGGAGATTCAGAAACTTCAGAGTTTATCCAGGGATCAAGTCCAGTTTCTTCTGTATATACTCTATATAAGATCAAATGAATTTTATCAGTCAAAGAACTTGATACTTTAATTAATTTAACATACCAGTCCAAATATTCAGGAGTTAAAGCTTTATCTATATTATTGTTTTATATGACGCAAATTCAAATTAAGTATAGGTTGTTTCTATACACTCTGCATATTCCAAAATAGCAATTAAAAAAAATAAATATCATTAATTAATTTATGGTCATTTGAAACAGGAGAATTTGATGATTTATTCTGTTATTTTAATTTCATGCTTTCCATATTTAATAAAATATGATCTAGCTTCGTATCTACCTTTTATACTTTTTCCATCTTCATGACTTTGCTTACATATTGGGCATAATGAATCCTCAATAATTCTATAATAATCAATTTTTTTAGCAATAATTGCTTTATATAAACCAGAATATCGCCACAATATTTTATTATGAAAATAATCACAATCACGAGTTGGATTATTCTGTTTTCAGATAAAGTCATTTTGAGCTGAGGTGTAGATGATATACTTGCCTCAGCCTTCAGCAAATCACCTGGACCTGAGGAATTAGAGATATGAGTTGGAGGGATAGATTATGTAGCTGAAATGCTTACCTCTATATTAATTTAATTGTGACATTTTGTCATGGTTTTTGAAGTTACCTCATTTATAATATGTTGAATTTGAGTATTTTTTAATCCAGAAATAGTATTTGCACTATATATAACAAGTTTTATCTTATCTGTATCTACTCCTCCTTCTCCAAATAACTTAAGAATTTTTCAAGCTCTTTCAGTCTTCTTACGCAAGCTTACATCTGTAATATTAGGTAAAAAAGGTTTCATTTCCTTATATATTTTTGATCTTGCTGTTTTATCCTTAATCTTACTATCTGCTATAAGGCTTTTAACCTTTTTTCAAATTCCAAAGAATAATAATACCAATTTAAAATTTGTTTTTGATCCAATTTAATTGCTTTATCAAATAAATCTAATAAACTTTGCACAGAATCCGGAGCCATGTCCTGTATACAAGGTTTAATGATTTCAGTAACATTTACCTCATTATTATTTGAATATAAAGGATTGATTTTGGAAGAAACAATATTTTCCGCTTGATAATAGGTTATCTCTTATATTAAATCTTCTATAATTTGATTGTCTGATTCAAGCATTTTGAAGGTAGTATCAGAATTGTTAGGATCATGACATTTTGTCATGGTTTTTGCATCACATAATGATAAGTTTATTGTCTTTTCAGATCCTGTTAAAGCATTCTGATTAACTAAAGATAGGTCTTGATCCTGAGAGGTGGAAGCTTTATTACTATGTAATAGCTTTTTTTCTATATTCCTCTGTCTTATCTTATTACTAACCCTTTTCTTATTTTCCAAATATAAAAAGATATCAATTTCTGTATCTTCTAATGATTTAGATTTTCTGGAGCAAGTTTTATTAAGGTTAGATATACTGGAAATTGTGTTTATTATCTGTTCTGAAGTGTCTGAAGTTAATAAGTCAACGCTAGTCATGAATTGATCTGCTTCGTAATGAGTTGAAGAATCTTTAATCTGCGCATTTTCACTATTCAAGCAACTCTTGTTAAGTAATGGAATAGAATATCCTAGAGATTTTAAATCATTAGTAACTGTTCGATTTTGCTTTTCAATATTCTTAACAGCTCATTTTAGTTTTGCAATTTCATTCTTAAGCTCAGTATTTTCTATCTGGCTTAACTTTGTAGTCTGTTCTAATTCTACAATTCTAATCTCAAGCTCATTCTTTTCTTTCATGATCTGTTCCAATTCATTGATTCTAGCCATAAGTCTAGCATTCTCTTGTTTCAATAAATCAATTTCAGATTGCATATTTAACAATAACTTTTATACAAATGCGAATTATTCAAATGTTATTTATTATTATAGATAATGATCAAAATTGCAACATGTAATTATAAGACTAAAAATATGGTTTCATGTGCTAGGATCAAATTAATGACTCGCAATATACAGAAAATAAGATTTTTACATGTAAAGAAATATATGTAACAACATTACTAATTATCCCATCTCATAATAAAATCAAAAATATTATTATTATCTCATTACTATGACAAATTAATTCTATAACCAATAAAACCTATTATAATAATAATTGCATAATAAAAAAATTATATTCTAGTATATTAATTTTATTAAGTATTATTTAAAAAAAGTTTGTCTATTTCCTCTTCATTTACAGGTATTACCATAAATTGTCATATAAACCACTCAGGATTTACTACATTCAATACTAAAATAAATTGATTTAGACCTAAAGGATCTGTTGTATAGCATAAGATCTTTTGTTTGGAGAGTCTTTTGTTTAGGGTCTTATTTGGAGTGTCTTTTGTTTGGAGAGTTTATTGTTTAGAGAATTTATTATTTAAGAATTATTGTCCAAAAAATCGTAAATTTATGATAATCAAAACAATTAAATAAAGGTAATTTCGTAATTATTTAAAATTTGTTTATATAATAGTATGAATTTCTTTATTTTTTTGTTAAAAATTTCTTGTTCAAAATGGTTTATAATCAAAAAATTCAAAAACAGGCTATGATTACAAAAAAAAAAAAAAATATCTTAGAATGTACGTGAAAAATTAGCTATTCTTACTTATCTGAACAAAAATTCTGAAGCTAATATTTGCAATACTGCAGCAAAATTTGAAATTCAGCCTAATCAAATTCATGACTGGAAAAAAAATGACAACAATTAAATAAAGCTGCTTCATATGTTAGACGATTAAATATTGGATCAAGACCAAAGTTTACTAAACTTGAAGATGATCTAATTGAATGAATTAGAATGCTACAAAAACAACAAAAAATGGTTTCACGTTCTATGATTCGAAAAAAAGCAAAAGTTTTAGCTAATACAACTGAATTTAAACAAAAATATCTAAAGATCAAAATGTTTCAATTTAGTGATAAATGGCTCTATGGATTTTTGCAGTGACACAAACTAAGCAACTGTCATTGTACTATTGCATAAAAATTATCTGAAAATTTGGAATTAACATAACAAGAATTTTTAAACTTTGTCTTATTTCAACATATGCATAATAATTATCCTCTTGCTTTAATTGGTAATATGAATGAGATATCACTTTGGTTTGATATGCCAAGTAATACAACTATTGAAAAAACAGGTGCTCGTATAATTAGCATTCAAATTTGTGGTTATAAAAAATCATACTTTACAGTAGTTTTGACTTTTTTAGCAGATGGTACAAAGTTACCACCAATAATTATATTTAAACTTGCCAATATTCCACATCAAGATTTTCCAAAAAATATAATTATTCGAGCTAATCGTGAAGGTTGAATGAATGTTAATGAGATGATTTGGTGAATCGAAAACATTTGGACTCTTTGATTATCTTTAAATAAACTATAATCTTTATTAGTTTTGGATTCTTTTTGGAGTCATCTTATATCTTCAGTTAAACAATGTTTTAATGAACATGAAATTAATATGGCTGTTATTCCCAGAGGATTAACATCCAAAGTACAATCTCTTAATGTTGCTATTAACTGATCTTTTAAATGAAAGGTATATTATTTATTTATTTATTTATTTATTTATTATTCATTGTTATATTAAATAAATTATTATAATATTAAATATTTTTAATTAATAGGTAAAAGAACAATATAACAAGTGGATGGCTGAAGAAATAAAAGAACTTACACCTTCTGGTTGAATTAAATATTCTCCATATAATCTTATTGCACAATGTGTATTAACTGTATAGGAACAAGTTGATTTTAAGCTTATTGAAAAATTATTTAAATGTTGTGACATTTCAAATTCTCGAAATGGATCTGAAGATAAGTTAATTTTTGATTACGATAGATTAAATTTAACTCAAAATAAAAAAGAAAATAGTAATTATATTTTTGAAAATATTGAATATAATAATGAAGAAAAAAAAATTATCGATTTAACTGAAATTAATAATAATAAAAATAATGAAGTAAATAAATATTATGAAAAAGAATCTATAGCTTATAATAATATTCAAAAAATTTAAAATAGTTGGATATTATTATAAATTAAAAATAAGTTGCCAATATAACATATATATATAATACACCTTAGGTAAATAGCTATAATTATAATATAATTAAAAACATTGATATATAAATATATAATTATCTAGAAAATCAAAAACTGTATTTCGTATTTTTTACTAACTTGATAAAATAACCAATGAGTCACTAAAAAATTATAATAAAGAGTTGTAAATATTGAAACATATCTATAATAAATCAAAATGTATTTCAGAAGCCCTATCTTAAATCAGAAATATTACTATAATATAAATTAATTCTTAAGTTTAACAATTGACTTGCTCGTATTATATAGTATAATCTATATATCTTGAAGTATAAATGTGACTTGAATAATTAAGCTTAAATTTAGACTATCTGGATAATAACGATCTAATAATTATAAATAGGAAAAAAATTAGTATATATTTAAAAAAAAGTTTATATATTATTAGAATAATAATATATTCTTACTTATACCTTGTTTTTCATGACTTGATAAAAAATCCTATAAATCTCTTTAAAACAATAAAAACAAGTATTAGTCATATAACCATACTGCTAAAGAAATTGCAACAGAAAATATTATATTGTCCTGTATTTCCTATAAATAAAGAAACAATGAATTATTACTTTGCTAAATCTAAAAATATAGTATAAAAGTTAAAGTCTTACATTATTTCTAGTGAATACTAATATACAACGTAACAATTAGTGATCCTGGATTAATTATACATAACAATAAAGATCCATTTTAATATTTATAACAATAGTTTTAATAAATTCTTTGTAATACTTTAAAATATAATATTATAAATTAAACTTATATACTTTTATTTTGTCATTAAAAGTTTTTTTTTTTTTTTTTTTTGTAGGTAAACATTATTTCTTTATTTGGTTTGTATATAGCAGGATATACATCGTAAAAGAAACAACATCTCTCATATGTTGGTACAATGAGTTAAATGCTAGCTTGCCTACAGTAACCATATGACTAATATTGAAAAGAAAATTTAAAACAATATATTTTGCCGAATGGCACCAAGCAGCTATAAATACCTACTCAGCATTAGGAGAAATAGTAGTAGAATTAGAATTGATAGATAGAGTTGTTAGACTATAAATACATTTAGAATAATTATATTTAGATTGGATGAATGAGTTAGCCACAGTGGAAAGTAGATCAATAATGATGTTAACTTGTGGATTATTGGAGATTTGTTATTAAAAGTTTTAATTAGAATGAAAAATTATTTGTATAATAGAAATGTAAAAGACCCAAGTATATTATAATATTGATTATCAAAATCTAATTTATAGATCAGATGGGGTCTAATATAAGAAAGGGTGATTTATATGGCAATTTACGATAGATCCTCATCTGGTAAATGCACCTACTCTCGTAGGTTACTGGTATTATCATCGACCGAGGACACAAAAAAACAAATTTTTTCTAAAAGCTTTTCTTATTCTATAAACTCGTTCCTTATGATCTTGAAAAAATTAAAGATTTTTGTATAATATCCAATGGTTATAAGCAAAAAGGAAATTATATACGAAGCCAATTCGATGGCCAATATTTTTTCTTGTTAACAAGTGATACGGCAAATAATATCAATTTATTCCCAATTACCTGTATACAATATGATCTGACTTTCTTGGCAATTTCAATAGGACAATCAAAATTGTTTACCAATATTCTGCATAAATTACAAACAGCCATCATGAGTAATTTTTTTGCGTCTCTAACTGTATATTTCTTTTTCAGTTTGTAAGGTGGTCCAGATACTTCAACATGTAGGATTTCAGTTGTGTCTGATAGTCTCAAAACTAACAAATCAGTTTTCCGAGTCCTTATATTAATTGTGAACATATTGCTCGTATTCCTTATGGATTTGATATCCTTCTCAATCCACTTGTATCTAATTTCAGGAAATGCATTCCTAAAAGATCAAAGTATGGATGAAAGGTATTCTAAAATATATGACCTTTTTGACATATCTTGAGTTAACACTTCAGGCGACATACAGGGAGGAACAAAAGTATTGCAATGTTTTTTCGGAAAACTAAATTAGTGTTATTTAAGATTCAATTATATATAAAAAAAAAAAATTTTTTTAAAATATAATAAATATATAGAAAAGACATGTAAAGATATTTTTTAAAATTACGTTAATATTACATCAATATTACACGTGTAATTTTTAATATAAATTCATTAAAAAAACTTTTTTTTGTTATTATGTTAATTGATTAACAACATAAAGATATTATCAAAGGACATTGTTCCGATCATTAATATCAGGTTATTGCAAAAAATATTGAATGTAGTTATAGCACTGTTTCAAGATTTATTACTTGCCACTATAATCCTAAAGAAAAGAAACATCAAGATTATCCACCATTAATTGATGAATCTGGTTGCAAACGTCTTGAACAATTGGTTATATCAAATCATCATCTTACATGAAATCAACTCTATGTAGAATGAAAAAAAAATGAAGGTCAATTATTAAATATTAAAACACTTACCCGTAATCTTCATAAACTTGGATTATATTCTCGCATTGCTTGTCACAAGCCTCTACTTACCGAAAATAATATTAATAATCAACTTAATTGATATTTGGAATGTGAAAGTTGATCTCTTGAAAAATGGCAATCAATTTATTGAACAGATGAAAAATCTTTTACTCAGTTTTGTACTACTGCTGGTGTTTGTATATAATGTAAAACCAACGAAAAATCCAATCATGATTGTATTGCGGAAACAGTTTCAAAAGGAAAAACGAAAATGGTATAGACAGGATTTTCTCAGATTAATCATGGTCAACTTATATTATATAATAGTAAAGTAACTGATAAAGTTCATGCAAAATTACTTGAAGCATATGCAATTCCATCATTTAAATCAATGTTTTTACATCAAAACAGATTATTCCAACAAGATAATGCCCCAGTACATAAGGTAAAAGTTGCACAGGCCAAACTTATCAAAGCAGATGTTGAGATACTTTCTTGGCCATCTAGGAACCCAGATTTAAATCCAATGAAAAATGTCTGATCAATAATGAAAAATAATCTTCGAAAATGTTATCCACTTCCTAAAAATCTTGTAGAATTAGAGCAAATGATACAACATGAATGGGAATTAATTCCTTTAGAATTTTTTCGCAATCTTGTCGATAGTATGCCTCGTCACATCAAAGCTGTAATTGATGCAAAAGGTGGTACAACTAAATATTAAATAAATTAGAATAGTTTTTTTTTAGTACATACGTATGTTGTTCAAAGTTTAAAAAAGTTTTTTTTATTTTTCATATCGTATATCAGATTTTAATAACATTAGATTTTGTTTTCCGAAAAAATGTTGCAATACTTGTCCCCCCCCTGTATATTCATACATCGCGATGAAGTCTAGGAGGGTGTGCCAGATAAAAAAGAGAAACCATGATTCCTCGCTCGCTTTCATATTTTTTTCAACCTCAGTTTCGGTTATTATCTTCGAACTAATTTCCGAATAGTCCGTTTGAAAAATTGCCTCCAATTTCGAGATTATCGATTTGTCTAAAATCAATTTATTTCTCATTCTAAGAAGCTTTTCGATCTTCTCAAATAAACTTTCATCGACGGTTTCTCTGACTAAATGTAACATTGAGTTGAATGCGCAAATTATGTGTAGAAATCAAGTTATATGTTACTTCCGTTATGATTGGCCTGTTTAACGAAATAACAGAAGAATCGGGATTATTTGGCTGGGGGGTCAAATGCTTGAAGCTTGATAGATTTCAAAACAAAATAAAAAATGAATGAGAATTGTATATTTTTTATTACGCAAAAAAAGTAACAAGAATAATTACATGATGTGGATCAATGTCTGAGCTTGAAATTTCGGCATAGTTGATTTCTTGTCGTTCTCTCAAATCATACCGTTTCACGAGTTCTTCCTAAAGAACGTCATAACAAACGAGTTAGAAAGATGTTCCATACAATTGATCATTTATAGAAACCTACCTCAACTCGCTTTTCACCTAAATTTTGTTCGTTATTAATCGCTTCTGTGTTATTTTCTTTTTGATTATTCTGATAAGCACGTCGAAGATGGGAAAGGTAAGAATCAAATTTCATATTAAAAGCTGGCCATTCAACAATATAACTACCTCAATGCTCGGAGACTGTGACCTGTGACGCTTGTACGTGCGATCATCATCTATACTCTCTAATCGTCTTGTAACCTTTTCTCGAACCAAACTTTCTTGCCTATCACGTTGAAGGGTTGAGTGTACAGCGGATGTAGCGAGTTCATCCTGTTATAATAGACAAGTTAGTGTTCACGTTTGCTCTGTACCTTGTTATATTGCCGGAATATCTCATACCAACAAAACTGAACTTTCGATTTCATTTGCCACTTTCTTCTCTTGCGCTAACGTAGCCGTCTTCCAGAAGTTATCAATCGATTTTGACTTTTTTCCTTCTATCAATAAAAAATTTGTAAGAAACGGAATCACCCGAGTCTCGACTCATAAGCTCCCAATTACAATCAGAAGTGATAGATATTAATGAAAAAATGTGTAAACATCCACCCGAATCGCAACTCAAGCATTCCGATCGCAACCAGGAATGTTGGGTGGTTAAACACATTTCGCCAGGAACAACCACCCGAATCGCAACTCAAGCATTCCCGATCGCAACCAGGAATGTTGGGTGGTTGAACACATTTCGGCAGGACGGAACCACCCGAATCGCAACTCAAGCATTCTCGATCGCAACCAGGAATGTTGGGTGGTTGAACGCAGATCGCAACCCCATCCAAAAAGGCTATTGCCCTTTGAGACCCGTCCACTGCCAACAAAACACCAAAAAGTAATACTTAACTTGTGGCAAATTAAGAGCGTCGCTAGCCAGTTTAATCATTTCCAGGGATTGTTGTTCGTAACTGAGTATACTAGCAAGGTTACGAGTATACCGACTGTGTTCTTCATGCTTGTCGGCACAGAAATCAGAACATTTTTGTCGATATAACAGAAAATTTAACAGTGTCCACCCGCGGTCCAAAGTAAAGAAATCAGGATCATCTAACGAAAAAAAGGAACTTTAGGAATCACAGAGTTTCAATAGATTGTGCTAAGAAAGTAAACTTGCCGTTGGTTACGTGAGCAGAAGTCGACATGTTTACGAAAATTTTGTGCACTTGAAACGGAATATTCTAATAATGAATTGAGAATTTGGAATCGGTAAAAAAAAACCGTGACAAAATGTCACGATCAGACTTGCTGATCACTTTTGCAAATTATCGGGTAAAAAATGATTTCTTTATTATGAATAAAATGTAAACGAGACGTAAAAATACGTGTATAGATACATGCGATTTTTTTTTCTAATCTAACCATACCTTCCATATCCTCATTATCATACACAACAACTATTGGTTTTGATAGTTTGAATTTCGACCTTTCCAACTCATCGAGCGAACATTCCATAAAATACCATTTTTCCGCATCTGTGACGATTCCAAACGTCTTACCCACAAACACACATTCCTCTATCTCGCTGGCCTTACGCTTGCGGTTCGTCAAGGCTGATTCAAGTTGGACGGCATTCTGAGCAATACCCTTTAAAAAATCTTCATCCTTTACTTCTGTCACGCCAACGGTTCTTGCAGTTTTGAGCAAGTCTATTGCGAAATCGACTGGGCCATGTCCATTGGGCCCTGTGATGTTTTTTTCTGGTCGAACTTCAAACCTTCCTTCATATAAAGTTGCACCGGAAACAAGGTATGAACACACATATTGCAATTTCGATGCTTCATTTCCACTGATTGGAATGGTCTTGAGACGGACTTTCAGTTCAGCTATAAGATGTTTAAGTATTGCCTGGAAAGATTCATCTTTCAGATTCTTGTACTCACACGTGAAAGGCGGGAATACTGATAACGAAGGATTGTCTGTTTCACCGAGTCCGTAAAGCTGACATACCTTTGGTAAAGTCCAATCTGAGAAAGCTTTTGAGGGGGTCTCTATGAACACTGCTCCATCATTTTCAAGTGCCGGCGTTTGGTACATCGTATATATGGATTTTTTGAGGTTTTCGAGGGTTGCGTGTTCGATATTCGCTGTCCACTTGAATCCCTTTGTTCGTTTCGGGCTAACAATAACGTCGAACTCTGTAACATAACAACTGGGTTAGTTAAAAATCCGAAATTTTCAGAAGTGGGATTTTTGGTCCCAGGTTTATCGATCACTTTTGCCCCGCCTTCTATCCCTCGAAGCCAGAAAAATAGATGCAGAATGTAACATAAACAACAGATAACAGCATATATCTTTTTCCGAACATGAGAGGAAAAAGGGTAGAAATTTTTGTTTCGCAGGCGTATACTGCCTATACATATACGTACCATAGACAGACTTGTTGAGTAATGCTTGCAACGAGGCGACGTGGTCAAGTAATTCCTGTTCACGGCTCGAAGTGGTGGGTGACGTGGGCGATTCGACTATAACATGAGTATGTTCCTCGGGAGGTGAGTCTGGAAAATATTTCGAGATCTTTTTTGTCGCAAGGAGTTCGTCCCCATCATTGAGTGTGGAATTGCTTAAGAGATCGTCCCGATCGTCAGGAATTTCTACTTTCCATAGCTTGAGATCTTTGGCGTCAACACCAGCGAAAGCTTGCTCATTTTTCTCCTTTGTAACCTCCTTGAGGTGGCTAACTAACTTGTTACCATCAATATCAACAGCGAACGCATGTGCAGACGTATTTCCTTTGATGAGACAGAGTAAAGTGATAGACATAGTGACTTATATTATTTTTTGCGAAATGTTATTGGCTATTGTTAGTAGTTCAGTAGTATATGGTCACACAGATTACATAATTAGCCTTGAAGATCACTAGTTTTCGTACGTTTAGGTTAGTGTTTTCACTAAAGATAAGATTAAAGATTATGTAAACAGAAAACTGGACTTATATACAAAAATGAATGGAAAAAAACGCCCGTTAAATAGTCCTCTGGGCAGTAGGTCTTTATTTATTTGTACTTAAGGGAAAATCAGTTTTAAATCCCGTTTTAACTCTCGAATTACGCGTTTGCAGGCATATCTCCGATATCATGGTATTTTGTTTTGTGGTGGGTACCAAAGTTGAGAGCTCCTTTCAAGTTGGAGGACAGGCAGAAATGAGTATTTCAGATCTAAGGGAATTAATCTACGAGAAGAGAAAGAGCAAATTTGAAAACAAAGGTTTTGATCCCAGCGATTTGCATCTATGGAAGGTGAATATTCCTGGCGATGAAGAAAACGATAAATTCGTTAAACTGAGAACACTTGAAAACAGATCTCATAATGAAGATACTATTATACAAGAGCTCGAAGGACAAAAGTTGACTCCATTTGATGATTTTGGTGACATTTTTGCGTATAGTGACTTGAAGAAGATCCGCATCATCGTGCAACCACCACTGCCTGCCACCACTGGTAAGTGTCTCCCAATGTTTTACTTCGAACAAGAAATTTGCGGTTATCTCATTCTTTTGTTTCTTTTATTTGATTAGCAAAGGGAAAGAAGGATAAACGAAGATGTATGTAATATATTGTTTGCTACGTTGACTCGTAATCTTGCTTTGTTTTCTAAAATTCACTTCTTCTTTTTACGATTTATTTGATATTAAAGATCCTGATGAATCAGAAGAGGGTCGGGACAGTCTTATGGTTATCTCATCTAAAAGGGTGAAGTGGATCACTGAGTTTGTGGAAAATAACCATATTAGTCTTTTGCGCAGTCCTCCATCATCAGGCAAGAGTACTCTTGGACAGGTGCTCCGAGACTATTTTGAAAGCCTCAATTATGATAGCATATACATTAGTCTTGCTGGTATCAATGGTAAACAAGAAATCTACGATGAGGAGCTCTTTGAAAATTTCTGGAAGAAGAAAGTTGGTAGAACCTGGACAGAAATCAGTGAATGCAAAAAGGATACTTATGTGTTTATAGATGAGATACAGACTATCTATGGTAATCGCGCTCCATTCTTTTGGGGTATAGTGAAAGATCTTTTGTCAAGCGAATCAAGTCTTCAAAATATTCGTATAATTTTGCTCGGCACATACCATCCAACACTTGATCCTCAAATGACACCCGTGGAAATTCGTCATACACTTGGTTTGGATGCCCTACTTCTAACATGGGAAGAAGTCCATCAGCTTATAATGTTCTATATTCAGAGACATGCTACTTTAGGTAGCCCGAGTTTCAACATCCCTGGACCTGTTCAGAAGGCAATCTTTAATCTCACTGGTGGATATCCTGGTTTGTGTCGATTCATTTTGACCGCGTTACGCAACCAATTTCGTGAAAATGGAAAAACAGTGGAAATGTTGCGATATCTTGCTTCATCATATCTACGAGATGGTATAATATCAACTGCGCGTGCTTTTCACTGGATCCGTGATTGGAATATAACAGATGAAGAATCTGAATTTATTCGTAAAAAGCTACTCCATCAAATTGGCATTCCCTTTTCTGCTGACTATGCCTCGAATCCTGTTACTAATAAATTTGTTAAGATGGGTCTCTTCTCTACGTTTGATTCTGATGAACGAATACAATTTTCCGCCCCTATAACGCGAGTTATTCTGAGCCACTACCTGTTCACCGCCCCTGTAAATTTTAAGTCATTACCTGCAAGAACCTTTGATGAGTTTTTGGTGCGAACCATTGAGCGCATGAGCCCATCTAAGTTGTCTGAATCGATTGGAAAAGGATATGGTGATAATTCACATTTATATGAGAGAAGTTGGCAAATGGAATGGTATCGTACTGCTACAACTGTAGTCCCAGAGGGTACATCAATAAGTGCTGATGTTGGTGCCGTGTTTGGCTCAGTTGGATTTCTGGATTTCTATGTTAATGGAAAACTTTGCTGGGGAATTGAGCTGACACGTGAGGGTAACAGTTTGAAGGAGCATGCAGAACGATTTGAGCAAGGTGGTAAGTATGCTGACATCCCATTAAAAGATTGGGCCATCATTGACTTCCGACATCATACAAAACAAGTAAGGGAATTAAAACAAAACTTCTGGTATGTGTTATATGATGATAACTATAAACGCGTTATTATCAAACGTCGTGATCAGGATGACAAAGTCCTTGTCTTACATGGTGATTAAGTGTAATCTGTATTCATGTTACATAGAAAATGTGTTTGTTATAAATAAAAAAATTCATCGTGCGAATATAATAAATGAATGAAGTAGCGAGTTTCAAGGGAGGAAACATCTCGAGCCCTAACCCGTAAAATAAGAGTTCCTTCCCGTTATTCATTATTAACTGTTTTGCTATCAATCCAAACACCTATTTTATCTAAATTGATTTTACGATAATAATTTTTAATCGAATCTTTATAGTGGCTATCGTTTATAAACCACACAAAAATTAATTGATTTTTAAACTTTATAAGTTAAGAACAAATAAACTTATTGTAAATCTAAACCGATAAACTGATAAATTAAAACAAACTGAACATTTTTATCGGTATATTTTTATAAAATTTTATGTAAAATTTTAAATTATTAAGATTTAAAATTTAATAAATTCTTATATAATATATATACTGTATATATAAATCAAATTTCGGACTAAAGATTATTATTTTTATATGAAATTTAGATGATAATCATCATTTATTTTTTATTATTTTTTTTTTTTTTGAAGGAGCAAAAGGCTATTACACTTTATTTTATTATTATAATTTTAGACTTGCAGTACAAGAT